CCCCCCCCCCCCACTTCCCTCTCCTCCCCCTCTTTTTTTTTTGGGGGGGGGTGGGGCAGTGGAGCTGAAGAAAGCAATTACTACAGCACCATGCTGCTTGATGAAAGGTTGGGGCTTCAAACCAGAACATTTGTGGCAGAGGGGAAAAAAAAAAAAAAAAAAAACCGGCTAAGAGGATCAAAGGGAAGACGAGTGGAGAAACATGGGCCACGTCCACTGTTTATCTGTGTGAAGGAGAGAGAGGAGGTGACGGACGTGACGGATAGAGGACCTGGCAACAATCAGTTCAGGAGAACAAAAGGGTAGAGTCGCAGCAAAGACTCTACCCCCTAGTAGAGACTCCTAAAATGCCTTCCTACCCCTTCATTTCCATATCCAAAAGCAAGACGCTCCATCCGTGACGTCAGACTTCGGATTATTCATAAAGTGAATCTGAACGCTCGGTTAAATCTTCCCACTCTTTATGTGCCTTTCCGTGTTGGGATTTTCACAGGATTTATATCAGGCACAAATGTTAGCAGGGATAATTATGCAACATGTGAGGCTCAACCCAAAGCAGCTCTTTTATTGTTGACACAAAATAAGAAGCTGCCTGACTAAGACATCGTTGCTCCCTTAAATTACTTGACGTTCCAGTAGGAAGTATAACTAGCACGTGCCTATTCATCACAGTGTCCTGCAGAAGTATTCATAACTTCTTGACCTCTTCACATTTGAGCAGGTCACAACCACAAACTTTAATGTGCATTGTTGGGATTACTTGTGATTAGCCTACATAACGGAGCGCACAAATGTGAAGTGGATGGAAAAGGACATGCGGTTTTAATCTGACCATTTTAAATGATATTTATTGCAGATGTCACCCAAGCGGCAAATGCAAACGGCATTCATCTTGTGTGTGACTTGATCTCATCCAAGAGCCTTTTGGTAATTCTCCAGAAGCTGCAGAGACAACCAAGCTCAGGTAAGATAATCTGGTGACCGGAGAACAATTAGTCCACTTAAATCTTCCAAAGTATTTTTGGTCTTTTTTCCACTTCAAATATCTTAGAATACTTGAAATAAGACAAGACCTCACTCTCTCTCTCTCCCTCCATCATTCAGGGACCTGCACCGGAGCTGTGGAGATAAGCAGACGTTTTTATCCATCAGATAGCTAATGCAGAATGATACACATCTGTCTGCGATTGCAGGTTTAGTTGGAAACGTGTGAACTGAGTGCACTCGCTTCCTCTCCGTTAATGCCATGCATTTTGTTTCTGATTCACCAAAAAAAGAAAAAAAAGAACATTTTATATAATATCTATCTATCTATCTATCTATCTATCTATCTATCTATCTATCTATCTATCTATCTATCTATCTATCTATCTATCTATGAAATGTAATGGGAACAGAAAGTCGCAGCAAAGCAAAGAAACACATCAGACATGTTTGTACACAATAAATATATAAAAATCCACAACAGGCATTTTGGAAAAGAGGTTTCTTTATTTTCTAATTATTATACTGTATTCATATAGGTATTCATATTAATATAATGTAAGTAAAAGTGTGCTTTTATTTTTACAGCATGTGTCCATGTCAGACCGCTGTTTGTTGGAGGTTCACATTGTAAAGTATACAGTGAAAGTGGCTAAGAGTTGTGTGTGCGTGTGTGTCTGCAGTGTGTGTTTGTGTGTAAGAGCCAGCATGTTTGTGCATGCATGTGTGTGTGCATTATATATGTTTGCAGAGGGCTACTTATTTCTCATCAGGGCTCAGAGGTGTGAAGCAGGAATAAAAAGCTGCCCAAATATCCAACCAGACATCTGTCACCCATCAACACGCTTTCTGGCGCATGTTTGAAAAAAAATTTCACCGACGTTTTCTTTGCTTATGCATCTTTCAAAATGGCTACTCAGGGTTTCAGCTGCACGTATGACTTGAGGCTTTCATTTTCGCTGAAAGGAAACACAATGCCCACCCTAAAGCAAACACGAGTAACAGTTGTTTCCTGTTTCTTCTCCTCACATTCATCTGAGAGCTGTCTCATCCAGCCACCTGCTACATTTCCTGCCAACCCATTCTTGCCAAAAAAAAAAAAAAAACACACAAAAGAGTTATGCTACTCACTGATATGCTACACTTTATCTCATACCAAAGAGCCTTCAATCAGTAACTGTGATTTCCTGTACTCACAACAACAACAAAAAAACAACCTAGTTGAATAATTAATGCAAATGTCACTGAGCCTTCCCCTGAGTTTGCTCTGGCGTTTGTTTTCTAACAGTCCTAGGGTCCTTTTTGAGGTGGACAGAGTCAGGTTACAGTCGTTAGCCGTTTGACATGCTGAAGTTCTTATTAATGCTTAGTTAGCTATATGTGAGAAACCAGAAAACCTTTCAGGGAATACCCAGCAAGTCCGTAGAGGTAAATACAGATAATTTGTCATTGAGTCAGTGCAAGGACTATGACAGATTACAGAAAGCGAGGATTTTTACCCCCATAAACTGGGACAGTGTTCTTTCTTTTAACCAGAAACCAACGTTTACATCAAAGATAGTGTTTTAAAAACCTGCAAATACCAGTCACGTGTTTGCATTGTGACTTCTAAAAGCTCGATTTCATGTCTCAACCAAACAATAAGCATCTTTCCCTTTGCTACTTGTGACCAATGAGCTGTCAAAAGGTTTGATCCTACACCTGGAATGTATTGTTTAACTCCATCTGTATTTACAGTAGAAAGTACCATCTCAACATGGGTGGCATTAGTTATTCATAACATGTACAACTTCACAATTTTGGTGAGTTGACTGTTCTCGATGTGCCCAGAAGTAGAATTTTCCGAATCCGAAATCCTTAAGTTGTAATTCAGAAGACAACTAACAGCCACCAGATTCACAATCCAACATGGGCATAAACATGGTGTAGGAAATGAGGGATTACATTTAGTCACATATGTGTTTGTATCTCAGTAAGCCAGTAGCACACATAGTACTGTACAACTTCTATTTACCAGCATGCTACTATTTTGTTTGGTACAACTCTACTTGACGGGGTGTGCATAATACTCATATGACACTGTCATAAACATGACATGTTATGAACATGAAGGAGTCTTTATAAATGTCTATGATCATTGTCATGAAGTGTCATTTGGTAAATAACGACACTTTTAATGCAAAGTTGCTCTAAAATTTGCATTGAAAGTCAATTAAAAGTGCCAACTTTACATTAAAGTGTCATTACTTATAAAAAAATACAAAGTCGGCACTTCTATGGACTTTTAATGCAACTTTTAAGGCAACCTTGCATTAAAAACATCATTATTTACAGAATGAGACTTCATGATAACACTCATAGACATTCATAAAGACTCCTTCATGTTCATGGCATGTGTTATATCATGTTTATGACCGTGTAATGTCAGTCTTATGCACACCCCGTAAAATAAAGTATTGCCTTTTGTTTAAATGAAAACAAAATAATAATTAAAACAAGAAGATAAATCCATTGTGAGAATCTTGGGTTGCTAAAAGTCCCACTAATCATCCTAATTTTCCAGGTCTGAGGCAAATTGATTGGCGCATATTTATGTCACACTGATTTATACAGTTTTTTGCCTTAAAGGTAAGGCGGAAAACGTTGGTTACGTATTGTAACCCCGGATGCTATAAGTATAGGCGCAGCCCCTTTAAGGCTATCGCTAGTGGGTTTATCCCTCGCGCGCAGCGCCACTGGTTGCACTGCTAGCTAAACTCAAAGTTAGCTCTGTCGGACATTACAGACAGAGCTGTACAACCACATCCATGAAACATGAAACATGAATCATAGGTAGCTATGTCTGTGATGTTCCTCATAATTTGTTAGCTCGACTTTGACATGGATACACACAGCAAGATAAACATGCCTAGTTGTAGTAAATCTTTTTGACCTGTCATATCTCAGAGACCAGATTTTCATATCGCAAGCTTGGCGAACTTGGAAATCCAGCTGAGGTAGGACTAAAAATATTTCAGAATAATTTACTTCATTAGAACTGCAATCACTGAAATTAGCTAAATATGTTAGAAACTTAGAACTCTGGAGTCTATATTGTAATTTCTTTGTAATAACTTTGTGTGGCTGGCCGTTAAATAAACAAATATAAAACAATGCAAGCCATATAAATTTTGAATTTGACTAAATTTAAATTCAACAGAATTATCACGTTAATAGTTTAATCGCCATTTCATTTACTGTAATAAATGTATTGGGTCAAAGCAGCGTAACAATAGCAGAGAGGGAATCTGATAGCTGATTAACTAAATATTGGCAAGGAAATATAAATACAAGCTTTCAGTCAACAAGACCAGAATAAATTTATAAATATTGGCTGCTGTATTATTGGGGACTGACGTTTCCAAATAATTTAAATTACTATAACTGTAGAAAAAGCTAAACTATTTTGAAATCGTTCAACAAGTAAATCTATCATATAAAATTGTCAAAATTCCTTAAGCAGGAAGGCATTTGTTTTTTTTCTTTCTGGGGAGTAGTTTTGGTTACTATTGGTTAATGTAAGTTAAACCAGGTTGTTCTAATTTGATACTATAAGCATCTGTCTATCAATTGAAGTTTTTTTTTTTCATCGGTAAGGTTGAGTGCAGCTACCGCACAGCTTATTTCAGGTGGCAGAATGGATGGATAGACCGGTAAATCAACAGCTTTTCATTCAGCTTGCTTCTTCATGATAGCCATGAGCAACGCAGAAACTACTGAAACCTTGCTACCTATTACCATATTTCTTATCCCTCATGAAGATAGAGCTACATAATTTTCAAAAATCAAAGACTTACATCTTCTTCTCAATGACAGCACCGAGACACGGTGTCTTTTAACACCAGAAACAAAATAAGCAACATGGAACGGCCCTGCAAACAAGCTTGACTTTGTGTCGACAATCCGTTGAGGCCAGCAAATATGGGAGGGTAAAGTTTTTGTCCATTATTCTACAAGATTAGTAAAAGCTACACTGCTCCTTTTGAATCCAAGTTTTAGGAACATTGACAGGGTCATCGGACTTCTCCCTTTCCTGTGAGGATCTTTCTGCTGTACTTCATACAATTGAACAGACATAGACTGAAATTTGCAAGAAAAAAAAAAAAACACAGTCGGGTCTGAGAAGAAGGCTGCTACTACGAAGTCCCGTCAAATCCGGAGGGTAAAACAAAAACTCAGTCCACCAGAACTCACTAAAATCAAAAGCAGCCTAATCAACTCGTATGGCTACGACTGCCTAGGAATGAGTGGGGCATTTAGCTCTGAACCAGCGTAACCATACTGTGTCGTGGGAATGCAGAAAACGGTTATCCTGGAAGCCCCGTAGCTGATGTCAGAGCTGTTTGAAGGCAGGATAGGCAGGCACTGGGTGCATGGGTGAGGAGAGGCTAACTCCACACGTACACACAAATAAACATCACCACACATACACACACACACACGTACAGAAAAACATGCATACACACACACACACACACACACACACACACACGTACACAAAAACATGCATACACAAACATGCAGGCACATAAATCCACCTGTAAGCCCTCCTCACACTGTAACCATATTTGTGTCAGTGTTTGTGAGTGTGTGCTGGTAGTGAGTGTTAATTGTAGAGTGCGCGTAGCGAGTCTTTTTTTTTTGTCTCAGAACTACGCCGTTGAATTCACATTTCAGTTCATCTGGTTGTCCATGTGTGATTAGCTGGCTCAGTTTACTCAACGCTCCACCTATCGGGTCGACGCATCGGGAACAGTTTGTTGTTTTTCTCCCAAAGAAACTCTAGACGTGACACAGTGATTTCTCATAGAGCAGCACGCACTTCTTTCCTGCACCGCACTGGGCAAGGCTGGGAGTGGGTGCCGTCTCAGTGTGGGTGTCTGTGCATGTCTCTTCATTGTGGAATGTCTGTGTGTATGCAATTGTGATCATATATGTGTATTTATTCTTGCGTTGTTATGTTTCTGTGCTAACGAGGACAAATATCTCAACACGTTGCCTGTGCCCTTTGGTTTTAGTAATATTTTTGAGCTGTTAGAGAAAGGCAGAGTGGCTGTCTGATCCTTCACTCATAAAATATTCACTTTTTAAGAGGAGAAATTGTTTTTATGTGGACTAAAGGCTCACATGTCTAGTTTTACATTTTCATCAACCTTTCTTAAGAGGAACCTACTGGAAACGCAGTTGAATGCTAATGACTGCGGCAGGATAAATAACTGGATACCAGGTGAGGGATTGGCCAGCTTGAGATTGACAATAT